CGAGCATGTTTGGTGTGACGGGGATTCGAACCCGCAGATTGCGAGTCGAGTGCCCTAACCACCTGGCCATGCCGGGCCCAAATGATAAGTAACAGACAATATGGATCGGGGTTAAGTCGATAATATCTGCTTGAGTCCCATGGTTTGAACTTTGTTGAATTTACTAGAATTAACAGCTACGCGTCCTAAAGGCCAATTTTTCTGTTAGAAAATAAAACTGTTTAAACTGAAGATGAGTCTATACTGCCAAAATTTATATTTGTGTCCACTAGTCATACCATTCTCACTATTAAGTACAAAAAATGATATATCAAATCCCTTAACAGTCTTATACACCTTAATAAGATCCCTTTTAAATCTTCTTTTCTCATAAGGGAACAGTTTCAATGACAATCTTTCCATCCCAGGTATCATTTTAGTAGTCCTGCTATGAACCCCCTCCAACAATTCAGTGTCTTTCCTAAGGTAAGAAACTCAAAACTGAACACAGTACTCCAAGTATGGCCTAACCAATGACCTATACAAAATACACATTATAACCTGTTTAGACTTGTAGCCAATACTTCTGAAGATACAATCTAAACTCCTATTTGCCCTACCACTAGCAACAGTACACTGCTTGGATGGCTTAAAAGACTGATTAATTAGAACATGAAGATCTTTTTCGTCCATAACAGTTAAAATTATTTCCATCAAAGTTATATTCATAATTCAAAGTATGATAACCCATTGATGAATTATATCACATTTGTTTTAAATAAAAGTTGTCTGTCCTTTATTTACCGAACTCACCAAATATTGTAATCATTTTGTCAAGCAGCAGTATTCTTTTCACACATAGCAACACCCAAGACCTTAATATCATAAGCAAATATAGGTTGCTAATGTTATTCCTTTTTTTAAGGGAAGTGATTGAGTGTTGTCTTGGAAACTATAGACCAATAAGTTTTACTTCTGTAGTAGACAAAATTCTAGAGAGTCTAATAAAAAGAGCTTTAACATTTAAGGACAACAAGGGGCCTGTTGGTCTATCTAGGGTGTCCCAACTCCTAAACTATTAAAGCATAAAACCCTCAAAACCAGGTTTTATAATTCAAATATCTATCAAGCCTTTCCTTTAACTCCCATAAATTTACACCAATTTTCACCATATCTGAAGGTAATCATTCCAAAACCAATTAACATGCTAGAAAAATAAAACTGGTGACACCTACACTGTTAAAAGTTATATTTATGTTCCCTAGTCTTACCATTGTCGCTGTTAAGTATGAAAAATTGCCACAACTTCTCGTCGTTCCCTTAGATGGCATTACCGCGGACATCATTTTCATTATCTGTCGCAGAAGCGTCGTCATCATTTCGTGAAGATATTCAATATATTAAAAGTTATAATACAAAAATTCTAAAGGTCAATATTGGGTCACGGGTTTTTGAGAACTTTTATTTTCTGGCCGCGATTGCAAACATAGCAAGCACTACAGCGAACACGCGATTAGAGATTATACGGACACTAACATTTTTTTTTACTTTGACCGCAATTCAGCAAAAGTCTAGGTGTGTATTATTTATGGTGATAAGACAAATTTGACTCTTTGTTCGTGAAGATCAAGACTGCGTATTATACTTGGGAACATATTATATTCGAAAAATGACAGTATTTGCATAACTCAACAGATAATCAAAAGCCTTTTTGAAAACGGTAACACCCAAGACCTTAATATCTCCAGCAAATTTAAGCATTTTATTGACCATTCTCTGATCCATGCCATTGATGTAAATCAAAATGAGCAAAGGTTCTCACATTAAGTCGCCCCCCAGTGGTACAGCGATATGTCTGCGGGCTTACAAAGCTAGAAACCGGTATCGATACACGTGGTTGGCAGATCGTCCATTGTGTAGCTTTGTGCTTAATTCCAAACAAACCAACATATTAAGTCATGAGGTACTCCACTTATGACATTAGCCCATTTTGACTGAATCTCATTTATAATAACCCTCTGCTTTATTCCCAGGCCACTTTTCTATCCAATGAGCTGGCTTATCCACCACACCTACAGAAATAATTTTTAACAAGCCTTTTAAATGGCACCTAGTCAAATTATTTTTGAAGTTACAGATGCATCAAATCCACACCAGTAACCTCATCAACATAAGCAATAATCTCTTCAAAGAATGTCAAAAGATTAGTAAGCAAGATTCTCCCCTAGCAAAACAATGTTGTCTTCCAAACAAAATTGTAAACTTTGTTAAATGACTTTACAAAGCATTTTTTATCAGACTTTCAAAATATATTCCCACTACTGATTTAAGACTAATAAGGCCTATAATGCATAATTTTTTATCACCTTCTATAGAAAGAGGAGTAACATTTTAAACAACTTTAATCCTCTGGCACCTGCCCACTACTTAAGGACTTAAAAGAATATTGACCTTTTAGAAAAGGTTAAGAGGATGGCTATTAAGGTGATTTTGAGTCATTGTATAGGGATAACTTATGATATTTAATTTTTATTTTATTTTTTTTGAGAAAAGAAGATTAGAGTAATCTTATGGAATTTTAGAAGAATTATTCAGGAGGATCAGTAGGATAAAGGCCAGGATGTGATTATTTTGTATTACATCTTGAAGACAATAGAATGAGAGTACACAAACCTAAGATTTGGAGAAGATGAGCAAGGTTCCAATAAAGATATTTTTATTTTTCCTGAAGAGTTATTAGTTTATAGAATGTGTTACCATTGGCAGTAGTGGAGACCTGCACCTTAAAAGTTTCAGAGGGGAACCAATGGTTTCTTGAAAATAAAGAGTGGGTTTAAAAAATGTGTAACTTTTTTTTTTCCTCTCAGAGGTAGGGGTGCAAGGACAACCTGGAGAATTAAATGATCCCATGCTATCCATATGTTATTGCTGTACATAAGCTGTGACAGAAACTTTATTATAGTGTTTCTTTATAGGGCCGGTGTAACAGAGAGAAACCCCCATGTAAATATTTCCACCCACCACAACATCTTAAGGATCAGCTACTCATCACAGGTCGAAACCACCTAGCCCTGAAGAATGCCCTGTTGCAGCATGTACCACTTCAGCCGGTTTTGCCAGGCCAACTATCTTCTGTGGTAAGTGGCACCCCTATCCTACTATATGCTCCACTCGCGCAGCATCTTGCACAACAACAGCATGATATAGGAGTGTCACTCCTCACCAGCAGTAAAGTCTCCAAGGTAAGCATGCTTGCCCTCTTGTGTTCTTTGTTTTTGCTTTGGTTAGTTTCTAAATTTAACATGTGGCTTACTAAAGAATCCCTTGGATCACTGATGTTATCAACCTATATGCACAACATGGGAACATAGCTATGCAAGGCTGGAACTTGAAAATTGCTTGGTATTTGCTTCTTTACAACTAAAGTTTTAAAAGTGACTTAATTGTTTTTAATCCAAGTGATGTTGACACATACCTTTCATACTGCAATATTTCCGTTGTGTTTAACCTAAAATAACTAGTCTAAACTTATACTTAAGCAGTCATGAATATGTTTGCTGCCAGTAATTATGACCACTTTCACGTGAGGTCCATTTGTATAAAAAGTAAATCATTCAAGTCGAACAGCTTCTGTATGTAACAAAGCTACAAAAAACAAATATTTGTTATACGGTTGCGCAGTCATTGATACTATTGTCTGTTGCATGGTTTTATTTGATAAGAAAAATTAATAACTGAGTAATTTAATTAAGTATAATCGAATGACAGAATTTCTTTATAATGGAGTTAAAGAATATTTATTATTATAACAAAATGGTGAATGTTGTTTGGTATTAAATGCAACACAGTTATTTTTAATTAACTTCTTATTTACAAAATAAAACATTAAATGCATACTAAATCTTGAAAACTTTGTCACATACAAATGTTGATATTATAGCAATTGTAATTATGCCTGATTTAATTCCATTGTATAAATTACATGTTAGTCAAAACTGTTTATTTTCAGAAACTTGGGCAGTGAACCAATTTATAGACTATAGACCCTTTTGCAAATATTTATGGCTTATGATAAGTTACAAGACTGTGTTCAAGAAGTAATGTTCCATTTCAGTTTCATTTCCATAACCAAATCATCTCCTTATTTCATGTTTTTAATTATGGTATAAAAGTTAGAATTTGGAAAGTTATTTTCAATGTAATTCTCTAATGTTGTTTGATATAATTATAAACATTGTGTTTCTGTAAATCAGTGTTTAGTATAAGATAAATATTTCATCTGTATTCAATGACTAATCTTGTATATACTCCAAACAAAGCTACAAGAGATAGTCATTAAAATATCATTATTGAAAATGTAATAGTGACTGTAGTGCAACCTGATTACAAGTAATAATCAATGTATGATTGGACAGTGCAAAATTTGTGGCTAAGCTATAAGAAACAGTTAGTAAAATGCAACCATGCAACAAAAGATAGTCAATGTTCTGCAACCAAGCTATAATAACAAGTCAATTAAATTGTATTTTTTATAAAAAGTTGTAGAGGTTGTAAACAACACTTATCAGCATGCGAGTTATAGTTTAGGCTTGGATTAACGAAATTGGTTATCTTTCTTTCTTTTTTTATAACTCTTCTTGCATTTGTTTAATTAATTAATACTAGCAATGGTAATGAACTGCTTCATCTTACTGCTCTTTTTAACATATATATTGTATCACTGACCAATTTGTATTTTTGTTATGGTCTGCTTGACAAAATATTGGTGCATGAAAATATGGTGCTATTTGTCTTACATGTGTTGCACAAGTTTTCTTTTTCATTAATAAAACAACATTTGGTTTTGAGCAGCACAATGGTTTTAAAAACCAAGAATGCACTTGTGGTATTAGAAGTTGCTTGTACACTTCACTTTTCATTGACCCCAGCATGCAGAAATAGCACAAACCATATAAAGGAGTTATAATAAAAAAAGCTATTATATAAGTATTTGATCATGACAAAGTAAACAATTTTAATAAGTGTTGGATTTGTAGAATTCTGGGAAGTGCTTCAATTTAAAGATGAACTTTCCACTTTAAAGAAAGTGAAAAAATTACCATAGGTATTAGAAAAGCACTTAGAATTTAAATTGCTGGTCCAAAAGGCTCATTGTTTTATCTCAACAGTTCTCAGATCCAATAAAAAAAACTTGAGTACAGAGGTAATAGACCTATCAATTTGATTAAGCCATTATATGTATGGCTTGGAAAATATGGCTTGTATAATGAATCGAAGGTTTGTTTCTCTTTAGTTCACTCCCTGTATGTATAAAATCCTTGAAATATATTCCAAGAAGCTTGTAAATTAATATTATACTGATTACTGTCATTCATGTCTCATTGGTATTTTTGTCTGAAAGTGGATAATATCACACAAAACACATTGCTCTGACAACCATCACCATCTGTTTATATAATAATGTAAACATGTTGTTTATTTCTTTTAGATTTGAATATTATAAGTGCTAACTCTTTCATTCTGAGTTTTCACCATTTTGTTCTACTGTTTGATTATATCAACATGGTTTTGTTTTATGGCATTGCTGTTTATTTGAACATGTCAACTTAATTTATAGTATAGTTTTGTTCAGTACTTTGCAGTACATCTGTGTATGTGAGATTAATGTCTACTATATCTTTGGTTGTTTACAGTACAATTGAACATGTCAGAGTGATGTGAAATCATGTTTTGTTCTGTGTTTTTAAAATATATCTGCATATGTTAGTATAATGTCTAATGTAGCTTTGTGTGTCTATAATTCATCTGAATATGTTAATGTAATATCTAATGTAGTTTTGTGTTATGTTTCTACAGTACATCTAAATATGTTAATGTAATGTCTAATGTTGTTTTCAGTTATTCTCCTATATTACACCTGAATATGTTATTGTTATGTTTTGTGTGATGCTTCTATAGTATACCTGAATATATTAATCTAGCTAGTGTAGTTTTGTGTTATGTTTCTTCAGTACATCTGAATGTGTTAATTAATGTTCAGTTTTGTGTTATGTTTCTATAGTCCATCCGAATATGTTAAAGTTATGTCTAGTATAGTTTTGTTTCTATGGTTCATCTAAACAGGTTAATATAATGTCTGGTATAGTTTATGTATCTGTAGTACACCTAAATATGTTAATGTCTAGTACAGTTTGTGTTTGTACAGTACATCTGATTATGTGAATGTTGTGTCTAGTGTAGTTTTGTAATGCTTCTATAGTGAATCTATGTCAAATAATGTCTAGTATAAATTTGTGTTATGTATTTATAGTGCATCTGATTACATTAGTATAATGTCTAGTATGGTTTTGCTCAGTTGTTCTATTGTTGATATGGAGTATCAGTGCAAAGTCAATATTATAGCTCTTTACAATGGTTCTACCATCCATTTGGACATTTTGAAGTAATGTCAGTATAGTTAAGGTTGTGGCTCTGTATACATAAGTATGTTGATGTAATGGTAATATAGTTATGTTCAGTGATCAGTTCACTGAAAACTAATTAGGTGATAAGTAACTGACTACTGGATGCATTTAAAATTTATATAACAATATTTTTTTATATTGAATACTTTCTTATCCGTCAATATGTAGTTACTCAGTGTATTAAAATACTAGATCACCATCAGAGGTTCTTTTTTGTCGAGTTACTTCATTTGGCAGTAAAAATATTATGTCTTTTAAAGACCCAGATACAGTTAAAAAGGCAGTTTGGACTTGGTCTTATTCTTTCCTTATGTGATATCTACCTTTGATAGGATAAAATTACCTGATAGTTAGAAAAATAATTATGAAAATGTTCACTTGAATTGTTAATTGGTATACCCTTTAGAGATCCTGTATTGTGAACACAAAGAAATAGTTAATGATTTTTCAGAAGAGAAGTATATTTGATGTGAAACTTCAATATATTTATGGTTATTTTAGCTTTTTCACTGGTTTGCTGTAAACTTACTTTTCATTTGCTTCAGCTTCATAATTGTTGGCTGTTTTATCTAAGTTTTTCATAAACTTAATGATTTTTAGTACTTGTTTTGATGTTGCTTAGATAACATTTCATAAAACTGGCTTTAGTTAATTATGTTCCCTCTGGGTTATTTGAGAAAGATTACTGTTGTATTAACAGTTTACATATTGTATGATTGTGAAAAATATTTTTCTTAAATTTGTAATTTTTTTAAGCATCTCTTACCCATTTCAAAATGTGCCATTTAACAGATGGTGTTATTTTTATTACAATCTCCAAAGGAAAGCTCTTCTTCTCTTTATTATGGTTTTGTAATCATTTTAACCTGCATACATATGTCTCACAACAAATTAAGATAGAACTACTACAAAGGCATTCAACTTTGAGTAACTTATAATGGAAGTTAATAATGTACAAAACCCTATTATACTGGTTCCCAGTTATGTTTTTCCAAGGGCTGTTATTCTTAATGACCAGAAAGCCATGGGCTGTCCAAGAAAAATGCCACTTTGGGAAAGAAATGCAACTTAACAAATAACTAGCTTATTACACATTTATACTAAATTGTTATGAAACAACTTTTAATAAAGGAATGCTAAGAATCATAAATAAAGGCTTTGGGGAGCCATGGGCCACCTACTGGGGATCAGAGGTCTAGTGTTTTAGTGGAGTGGTTTCAACTAAAATGTTATAAACCACCACCTAATCACAAAACTATATCTTGTGAATTGGTTGTATGATTAATTAAATATTTATAAGAGATTTATAATATAAAACGATAAGCTAGCTATTATGAATTATTAGGTATTTCAGAAACTAGACTGTACACAAAACAGTATGCTATCTTCAAGAAAGGTGTAGCCTAGTTTGAGAAGTCACTTAGGTTTTACTTAACCAACATTTAACTATTGTGAGCCAAAATGTTGGTTCTTAATGCCAGTTACAGTGTTGTTGATCATATCCACTGGTTATGGAAATAATGCTATAATGACTGGACCTAATAAATGAAATTTTTTATGTAAAATAAAGACACAAGTCATTTAAAAAAATTCATCACTCATACTTTTTAACTTCCAACAACAGGTAGATGTTCTAAATCCACTTTCATAGTATTAGGTTGTTGTTTTTTTAAACTGGTAGGTTAATAATATCCTGAAAACATTAACCTCTAAATCCATTTCAATTAATTTTCAAAAGTGGGCATTGCAGTTCAGTTACAATACTCAGGTAATGTTAATTTCTTGATCACTTAAATTTTTCAAACCATTTTGAACTTACAATCAAGAATTTATCATAATTGCTTTTTCTTTAGAAATAATTAAAAATATTGAATTTTGTACAAACTTTTATATTTTTTTGGCACATTAACTTTTAAAAGAAATGGCAGTCTCTAAAATCAAGACAGGTTGACTTTATTTGTACTTAGAGGTATAAGTTGATATTTTGGCTAAAAAAACTTTTGTTAGCACCTTTACACACATAGTAGTTCCCAAAATACATTGTAAAATATACACACACATGAACAGTAGCATGGATGGTATTGCAGCTCTCTTACAAGAAATAATTGTATGACTAAAGATTACTAAATTGACATATTCTTTTTTATTATGTATTACTTAAAAAGTAAACTTGCATATTATTAGTTATCTAAGGCTATGAAAAGATATGGGTATGGATTAGAAGTTTAGGTGCATATAATGATTTACAGCATCATCTTCATATGGATTTTTGTGGATATTGTTTTTTTATGAGCTTCTGTGATGTACATTTTTATGGATTTTGTTATATTCTATTGACAAGGTAATGTATATTTTCCTGGATATAGGTTTATGAACTGTCAAAATTTTTCTTGAGTTGTATATTTTCTAAATATAATATTTTATGGTGTTATCTACTGACAAATGCTGTTGTATAATGTGTAGCATAAGTTCATATGCTCTGTTGCCTTAATTTTCAACTTAATTGTATTGATTGTGATGGTGTGCTATTTTGATAATAATATTACCCATGCTGTCATTGTACTTTGTGGTGTAAAATCATAGTTAGAAGGAATTCACACTCACAGAATTGCTCATTGCTGGTTCTTTAATTTGGAATTTTTCCGTTTTCAAGGCAACTGCAAATCCATACTTAGCTACACTTCCTACTGTGGCATCAGCAGCATCTTTTGCTCACTACTTGAACCCAAGTCCCTTGTTTGGTTTAATTCCAGCAGATGCAATGGCAACACCACTTAGTACTGTTCCGACTCCTCAGGTTACTCCACAGAAAGTACCTCGTACTGACAGATTAGAGGTAAGACTATAAAAAATACAGTTTTAGAAATTATAGAAATCATTGTGATTTGTGTATGCCTTTAAACTTTCAGGTAGTGCTTATTCAAATTTCATGTGTAAAATATTTTTCAAATCAATTTACACTTTCATTAACAGCATATCAATTTTGTATATAAGATTATTGTTATATGCAGTAGACTTACTGGTGAACGTACTAAGATTGTACTGCTATTCACTGTAGACAACTTTGATCATATTTTTCTTTTCATATGGTTGTGTGATAACAAGTGTGTTTATTTGTCTTGCTGGATCACATACTATTTAGCACAACATATTTGACAAAACAATTCTATTGGTAACAATCAAAGAGCTCATTAAAACTAATAATTAATGAGTTCATTTGCCCAGTTGGTTTTGTTTTATAAAGTAACTGAAGTCTGTTAAATGTTCAAAATATTTTGCCCACAAATTGAGTGATAAAAGCAAGAGTAGATCTGCACTAATAGGCATATAGCATCACTATCTATCTCTAGATGTTAAGTAGAAAATATTGTGATTAAGTGTGTGACAGAACATGAATAGATGAGCTTTAATTGACATCTAGCATTGCTATTTATCTCAGGTTTGAAATGAGAATATGCCATGACAGTGTTAATAATGCTACTAACATTTCTACATTATAATAATAATGCCTTGTTTGATAACAATGCAAGCACCATATGTTCCTTTAGTAAAAGGGAAGCAGAAATCTCTGAAAGATGGAAGTAAGTTTAGCTGATACACATTCCAACAGAAGAAAACATCAAAAAGTAATGGATTAGAGATATTATTTATATGAAGAACTTTGATCAAGCAGAGCAGTGGCTACTTTACATTGTTACTGATAAAACGGGATTGATACTAACACTACCATAAATGATGATGCTGTTCTAGACAATGGCATATATTTTTATGTTAGAAAAAAAGGAAACATTAATGGAATTTGACTCCCAAATCATCACTAAACAACTACACCTAGAATAAATAGTAAATGGAACTATACTACTCTAATGTTTAATGCTATGTACTCAAGGTATTATTCTGAAATGCACCATTGCAGCTGACACAGCTGATAATAGAACCATTCTAACTTATCAAAGTGTTGAATCACAAAGATCCACTAAAGACTTAAAGTAAAAGCTGTTATATAGTAGTTCCATCTGGTGGATGGTTTATAAACTAGTAGTCATTATAGTAATACTATACTGCCACATACTTGTTATTATGAATTAACTAAGGAAATTAAAAAACAATCCAATTTTCCATCAATAAGGCTGTCTTTCAAAAAGCATGATTTTTATTTGTATGTGTAGATCAACATAACAATTATTCCAAGTATTTTAATCACTTTTAAAAACTTAATTGATTTATGTGAATCAATTAATATTTTCTTATAAGTAGAAAAGTATGTTGAAAGTTTTAATGAGTTTATTTTAAAACCACTACTCTTGGTAACCAAGTTTGGGAGAAAGTTTCTTCATTCAGTGATTGTTTTTATTTTTTAAAAATAAACATTTCTTGAAATAATGCATTTTAAAAATGCTTATGGGAAAAAAATTTAATTTAAAACTGCAGGGAGTTTATGTTTAATTATAACTATTCAGAGTACATGTACATGCATACTCCAATATAGATTAAAAGAGTTTACACTGCATATGTGACTAATGAATAGTTATCTAAATTCAAAATCTTTTGACGATTCCATTTTCATGTTGTTTGTAATAAAAATCAAAAGTTGTTTAGTACTTGTTAAATAGCATGTGAAAAAAATTTCAAAATATTTGACAATAAAGATTTAAAGTTTAATACTGAAATGTCTAAACTTGTAAACCTAGAAATAGTTCAGAAAGTATAGAGTCTTCACTTTTAAGATCAGTATATACCTAGCTTTAAGTTACCTAATATCAGGGACTTTATCCAACATTTCAGGTAAAATAATCATAAAATGAACAATATCATAAAAATGCTCTGGGTTCATAATTGCACTAAATGTGATTACTGCGAGAACATCTGCCTTTAGGCAATTTGTAAAATTAGTCCAGTTATTTTTCCATTTAACCATCATTTAATTTTTGAAATTTTCTTGTATTTTAATTTTTTGAAACTTAAAATTTTTGTACGTATATTAACAAACCAAGGCTGTAATTATTAAATCTTATTTTTTAAAACATGAGACTAGCTTTAATAGTAGTAAATAGGTAAAGAAAACACTAGTTAATCATGTAATAAAGATGTCTGTAGGGAACTCTCAAAGGCTGATGCTGTGTGGTAAACAAATTAAAAATCTAGTCAAACATTTAAAAACAATAACAAAGAATTGGACTTTTACTCTTCAGGTAACATTTTCAAAACTCAAAGTTCATTCATTGCATTTTGTTTTCTGTGAAATATATATAGGGACATATAGATTTGTTTATACAAATTTTACTTGTTTCAAAAAATAGGCTGTTATATTTAGTAATAAAATAAAACAAAATGTCTAATCAGTGTTGAAATATTAAAAAGTCTTTTTGAAAACTAAATTTTGTGTTTTGGATAAAGAGGTAATAAATTTTGAGTTTTAAAGTTATACTACTTATGGCTCAATAAAAATAAGAAAACACATCCAGTGTCATTATTAGATCATGCATAATAAACAATCTAAGCAGACTATGTATTTAATAAAATAAATTATCTTAGTTTTACTATTATGTATTACTATCATCATTGCAAGTAATAGTTATGTTCAACAAGAAAATGGAATGCTATGTATAAGATACTCTGAAATATACAAATATAAAAAAAAGCATTTTTGTAGAACAACATCTCTTTTTGTGGTAAAACATATAGAACTTGAATGACCTTGTCATGAATGTATTAAAGAAGTCAGAAGTCATAATTAATGTTTAGCTGTATTAATACTACCTCATGAAGATATTTTGTTTTAGTATGTTGGGAACACTAGTAATGACATTGATCAATCAAGCATGTAATGATAGCTTACTGAAGTTTGAACTAGTACATTTTTTAAAAAATTAGTTTGCTACTTCTAGTATAATTAGCAAAGGTTTGGGAATAAAGATCCTGAGGTCCATATGCCAGGGGTGAAACCTGATGTCCTGATGGTGAGTATGGATCCACATAATAGGAAGATTTAACAAGGACAATGAATGCGTAGTTATGATGTTGAGCTATGAAAAAGACTGGGGATGAAATTCACCCAAGTACCTTTGTACATTACAAATGTATTTGGGATGTTGCTTACAATGCTGAAACTTATTGCTCATGAAAGTATAGCTGAGGCAATGTTTGGTAAATTTTAGATCTGGATTTTGTGTATAGTTTCTAGCATATAAAAACTTGTGATCTAAAGAGTCCTGTAATGATATTTTTACATGTAAGAGATGTTGCCCCATTTTTGTAACTACAGTTGTGCTAACATATTAAACCAGATATTTATTCTAAATTAATCACCCTGTGTGAGTGCTCTCTTTCTGCTGTTGGTGTTGATAAGTTTTAAATTATGTTAAATGTTTTCCATTTTCAACTTTCTTATTCAATTTTGTATGATCCAAGCCAATTTGAAAGTGCATGACATAAAAGATAGCATATCATCTAGTAGCATTCATGACTACATATGTGTTATACCTCTAGTTATAAAATGGGAAACAACTGCAACTCCCTATGGACACCATGTCTGTGCTAGCTGATTGTGTTTGTCATGTAATTTATTTTTTTCCTGCTTCCCCCACCCACTTTTCTTCACCCTTTTCATGTAGGTATGTCGAGAGTTCCAGCGTGGGAATTGTAAGCGAGTGGAAACTGAATGCCGCTTTGCTCACCCTCCTGAGCATGTGACAGTGGACAGTGCTGAAGGCATGGTGACGGTCTGTATGGATTTCATTAAGGGACGATGCACGCGAGAACCATGTCGTTACTTTCACCCCCCACCTCACTTACAGTCTCAGCTAAAGGCTGCCCAGAGTCGTGCTAATGCTGCAGCTCTGGTAGGACAATAAGTATTTCATAGGCTCTTCCTATATGGCCTGAAGTATGACTTTTAAATTAGCTGCTTTGTGACAATGCATGTATCTTTTTCACTGGCTTCGTGCAGTTTGTTGTTATATGTTTAGGCCTGCTTAAAAGAAAGTGTTTTGTCAACAATTTTCACTCTCTCAGAGAATAATTTTTGTTGTGAGTATAGTTTAAAAATAAAAATAAATAAGATTGAAAAATATGACACTGTTAAAAAATTATTATTTGGTTTTTCATGTAGAATTTACTATGAGTACTTTAAAAATAAGTTTAGGTTAAGATACAAAGTTTTTTAATTATCTAAAAAAACATGCAAAAGTATAGACAGATGTTCTGTTATAATCAGATGGCTTTTCTGACATTATTTATGTTAATTTGTATTTAGGCATATGATCAGATTAATTGTGAGTTTAAATATTTAAAAATACGTGTACTTAAGTAATACTTTGTGTTTTAATACAAAATCAAATAAAACAACTATATTTATCAGATAATCAAAGTAATATGTGTTAATGTAGCATATAAGTCAACTTAAGTACTGTATACGACACCTACAATAATGTTGTATTAACTTTCATCTTGGATCTTGATTTAACCACAACACAGGAAAGAAGAATAGTTGTATATCGTAATATAAATCTAAAGCAAATTATATAATTGGTACATAATTTTTTATTTGCTTAGTGTCAGTAAGGATGATTTTAATCATACAAATCAGACATGGAATTTAATCTTACATCAAATTGGAAAAGGAAATACCTTTCTAACATAAACTTAAAACAAAAGTAACCTTTAGACTCAAGTATAGAGTTGAGTGATTTAATCAATAAATCGAAGTTACAATTATATCGATTGTCACAAAAATAATCTACTTATCAAAGTTATGGTTTCCAATTATTACTATTTTTGATTATTTGAACTATCAAAATATTGACAATAAACTTTCTCGCCCTGTTTTTCTTATAAAAACACTAAGCTACTAAAGTTTTCTGCCACTGTCAATAACTTTTAACTGCTGACTAGAGGGAAGGCAACTAGCTGTTTCTTTTTGTTTTTGTGAACTTCTAATGAGAAGGAGGAAGACGAATCTCTGGCAGAACCCACTGCCAACTGTTTTTTCTGTTGTTTGTTGTTCATGGTGTTGGCGAACTACTGACTAGAGGGAAGGCAACTGTTTGGCAGCACCTGCCACATCCCATTTTCTTTTTTTTTTTTGAACTGCTTACAAGAAGGGAGGTATTTGCTAACTTATTAAAGTGATGGTCCCATTAATTGATAAATAGGATTTTATTCAAACCACAGCATGTACAAGCACAAAAGAAAGTTGACAACAGATACCACCAGTTACTTTAGTTTCCTTTAGTCAGCACTTCAAAAAGGAAAATTGGCAGTGGGTGCTGACAACCAGTTGTCTTCCCTCTAGTCAGCAGTTCAATAAGAAAAAGTTGGTAGTGAGTGCTGCCAGCCAGTTGCCTTCCCTCTAGTCAGCACTTCAAAAGGAAAAATTTGGCAGTGGATGCTGCCTGCCAGTTGCCTTCCCTCCAGTCAGCAGTTCAATGAGAAAAAGTTGGTAGTGAGTGCTGCCAGCCAGTTGCCTTCTCTCTTATCAGCAGTTCAAAAAGAAAAAGTTGGCAGTAGGTGCTGCCAACTAGTTGCCTTCCTTCTAGTCAGTAGTTCAAAAAAGAAAATGGAAAAAAAAAGACAGGGCTAGAATTGATTATTTTTGTGACAATCAATTTCATAAAAATTTTTATCAATTGATTAGTTGATGTGACACTCATTGATGCAATTGCTGCATTGATTATATGATTCAGTCACCCAGCTCTAGTCATGACTATTCCAAACAATGATTTACAGCAGAATTAATAGCATAGTCCTTACTATCTTTGTAACAGCAAAATAGCATTAACTGTGATCTTAGTCTTGCATGAATTTTAAATAAAAATTTCTTGAAGTATAAACCAGACAACTATTCATGTATGAACTGATTATAAAAGTGTTCTTAAACTTAACTATTAATGTCTTTCTAACACTAGTTAACACAGAAAGTACCCATCATTAATAACAAGCATGCAGTCAATCATACATGTACTGAAAAAACATTTTGACTTACTTTGGTTGTCATAATAATATAAATTTTCAATCAATTGTGTATGAATCCATAAAGGTTTAGACCAGACTTCTTTTTTTCTTGTATGAAATGATTGTACAAATTAATTTGCTTAGTCCGAAAATAACATATATATTGGATATTATGAATTGGGTCATCTAGAAGAGAATATCATTCAGTCACCAATTGACTGTAAACCTGGTTTCAACTTTTATGTTTTTGAAGAAACTGCTCTGGCTCTGTTTTTAGCTTAAAATGCTTTAGAAACCTGAATTTAACTCTGATTCACTTTCTAACATCCACCATGTATCTATCAAACTATGTAAAGGCTTAGCTCAGACTCACTTTCTAATATCTATCATGTATTTATTGAAATGCGGAAAAGGTTAGCTCTCACTCCCTTCTTACAAAATAGCTACAGAACTGCTCATAAGCTTCACTTTGAGTCACTATTTATAACACAAACTGGCTACAGAAATGCCTGTGAACTTAGTGTAATGCATTTCATAAAAAGAATAGCCATAGAAATGTCTGTAAGCTTAGTTAAACACATTTTCTAACATAAATTGGCTACAGATATATCTGTGAGATAAGTTGAATATATTTTTTAACATAAACTGGCTACAGAAATGTCTTTGAGCTTAGTTTAATACGTTTTGCAACACAATCTGGTTGAAATGTCTGTGAACTTAGTTTAACACATGTTGTAACATAAACTGGATACAGAAATGTCTCCGAGCTTAGTTTAACATACTGTCCAACATAAAGTGGTTAAAGATATGCCTAGGAGCACAGTGTTTATACTAAGAAAATTTTAACAGAAATATCTTTGTTTTAGACAAGTCTTTTAAAGCATTGCAACACAAGTGTTTGTTTATTGAATAGATTATCTTCTTGACATGAAATTGGAAAAGGAAATGCCAGGTACATGCACTTTTTGTTCTGGTTGTTTTTAGATTATAGAGCTGTAACAAGAATGTGTGTGTGTGTGTTTATATCCAGCATTTTTTTATTTATTTTTTACATAAATACACAACATTTTGAATTAGCAGTGACAGAATATGTCTGCTATTAAGTAAATAAATATTTACTATTTTTATTAGCTTAACAAAATTTCCTTTCACTTGATAAGAAACAATAATATTAATGTGTTAATAGCAAAACATGTTAATTAGACACATCAGAGGCTGTAACTGACAGCCTAGGTTTAATAGGTGAATGTAATAAAGTTATCTTAATTTTAGTAAATTTAAATTACCAGTAAAATACTTGTGAAAATTCAATGGAAACAGATTTGCATATCTTGTTTTGAACAACCATTTTTATATTTTAAATAAATTCAGGCAGCCAATCCTAAAAGTTCCCCAAACCCATTGATGGAGGGCCCTCAATATGAAAATTTTAAAAATCTAAAATAAATATTTATTTTTAATGATCCCTTGCATATCCTTGCAAATATTCGTGTAAGTCCATGGATCTTGACCAAAGAGTTCCCAAAACTCATCTGTGTATGAATGCTCACATTTAAGAATTTCCAAAATCTGAGTTGAGATTATTATTGGGAATGGATTTTTATGTTAACACTAGTTTTAAGTAAATCAATCAAATCTGAGATACCCAAACAACCCTTGACCACTTAGTTTTGGGGCCCATGACAACTTTTTTTTTTACGAAATATTTTTTGCCTTTTATATTCATTTGTGATCAATAGTTGACATACAAAATATCAAGCTATTCTGTTAAACATTATGGAGCAGTTAGAAAAAATCAAATAAACATTCATGCATATATTTGATAATTACTATACACATTTATAACATAATAATTGAGTTGTTTTAGTTGTTACAAACTTAGAGTTAATCATTATATAGTGTCATCAATCATAAATCAAAACCAAACTGTGATAAATTCTGGAATCATTGTAACTAAATTAAATAAATTGTATCTTAGCATAAAAATTAAAACATTCTAAAGACTTATTCTCAAGATATTTTCCGATTCAGGAGTCAACACTCATTACTAATTAACTACTTAATACAATATGATAAGATCTGTAATTGTTTTTGCTATTATGAATAATTTTATAGTTATATTTTATTTTAGAAGGAAGATTTTCTGGTTCATAGTTAATTCTTTCTGTTGCACTGAACTGTCCACTTGTGACAGAGAAAAAGAATCGAAAAGTATTTCTTAGAGTTTTACATTGTTATTTTATATCAATTTTCAATAATCATTTTATTTATATTATTGTTGGTTACAAGACTTCATTCAGGTAATTGTAAGTCTAATATTCAAACATACAAGTTTACATTATATATCATGTAAATGTGCTATTTTGATTAAGTAATCTTAACATGATATATTAGTAAAATATTACAGAATTACAAAAATATTATTTAAGATTTCATTTTATGTCCAGATTTCGTTTCAGATTGTATAACTTTATGTAAAAAAAATCCATTATTTTGTGGTAAATAATTATGTCAGTCTAAAAATGCCCAAGTTTATTTATTATAATTTGTCTGTTTTAATATCAGGCCAAAGCTATAGTGGTTTAAAATTTGAATCATACTGACAGTAAGCAAGAAAACTGTCAGTTTTATTCTATACAATATTTGCTATCTAATTTGGTGATGTATGGTCCAGATTTAATTCCACTGTAGGCTTACCACTAAAACCCACTAACTTTGTAAAATTGTATATATAGATAGGTGAGTGAGTGTTTTTTCACGATATAGACTTTCTTAACAAACTGTTCCATGTCTTCATATTGTTTTATGTTTAAAAATAATATTGAAAAAATTATATAAAAGTTCAAAATCAATTATTATAGTGAAATAAAAAATCCTGAGGAAGCTTATACATGAATTACATAAAAAAATGTTTTTCTAATTTTGTGTGTGTATTTTTTATAATTGGTAACAATCTGGATATAAATATTGTTATAATAATAAGTACAATAAGGTAAATATTTGAAAAACATATTTCTAACTGTAGTTTAGCCTCCTCCCTATAGAAATTTTAGTTTCTTGTAACATTCAAATTCTTATCTTCATGGACAAAAAATATCATGTTTAGATCTTTTGTTTAGTATTATTTACTTTTGGAAAAATCATGATTGCTCATGTCACTTGAACTAAACATAACCTGTAAAATAATAAATATAAATTTTCTTTATTTTTTAATTAATTGGTTTTAATTTTGGCAGTTCACATGTTTCCAAAGTGAATTTTTAATTAAAACATTGTAGCTGAGATAAAACTACCTAGAGAAGGCAATGTGAGAGATTGAGCTAATTTCTGTATAACTGATTTAAAGCTTTACTTTTACTCTGCATGTTTTGAAATGGTTCTTACCTTTTTTGGTGGTGATGTTAACTGTTTTGTCAGTTCTTATCCTCTGTGAACCTTGCTATGATGTTAGTTTCTTTCCTAGGTGATAAAGCCATTTTTTTGCTAACTGTAAATTACTTGTCTTCCTTCAGTAAAAAAATTACACTCAAACAACATTTGAAGTGACATACAACTCAACACCATAGCTCGAGACGAGGGTAGGAGCTGGTCTCTTTTTGTTTTTTTTTATAATCTGATTTTGACAGTTGTGTATTAGGTGACTGGCTCTTACTGCATGTTGGACTTGATGAGCTGACTTGTAATTGTTACTGTTTTGTTTTGGTTTCTTTCATTGCCTTGCTGCTTGCTGTGTCATGTGCTGCCACCTACTGCCCATCCCTGGCACCTGCAAACCAACATCATCTGCTCTGCATACTAATTAGCCGCACGTGGTTGAGACCTTGATCAGCAAGAAGCGCCCGCGTCATCCTGCTGATGACCTGATTCTGGTATTGGCCCTTAGTGCTTTTGCATGTAGCTCATTCTTCATAGGTTTGGCATTAGAGGGCTTAGTGCAGTGTCTGACCTATTACTGATCTAATGTAAAGGATGTAAAGTTGGTAAATTTAAAATTTGTTATTGAACTTTGAGTTTAGGCAACATTCAAATGTCTGGCCCTTCTAAAAACATGCAGCCCCAGGATTTTTTGTCACAGTTTTACTTTCTTTAGTCAGCTAGAAGAAAATTTAACTTAATCTTTAAGAAATGAACTGTGTAATCAGTTCTGATACAAATATATTTTTTCTATATATATTTTTTAACAAAAAAAACAAGTAGGAAAAATAAATGAGGTTTACTATCAAAGCTTTTTTTTACATAATAGGCCTGCCCTGAAGAATTTTGCATTTTAGAGTACAGTTTATTATTACCATGTTTCATGTAAGTCATGGAAATTGTTTGGCAACAAAAAAGAAAATATAGGAAATTTATACAAAATTTATTTGACAATAATACATTTTCATTTTTTAAGCAATCTATAGTCCAACTGTGAAAATTAAAATGTTTGAAATGTTGCTCTCAGCTCAAACTATAGTTTTATCAGATCAAGCGTGTGTGCATTTTGTTTTTGAACGTAAAGACTCTGCACTGTTCACTGTTCTAATGGGAATGAGCTTTTTACTAAATTAACCCTAGGATTGGTGGACATGGTACAGTCTTTTTCCCATTTTAGGCTTGATGCTGCACAATGCCCCTTTTGGTAGGTTACTCAACTTTTTTGAAGCAATTCTTGAAATTTAATGGTTTGGTTTTAGTATTATGCCTGCCAACTATTGCTTGATGATAAAGTTAACTTGGGTTTAATAAACAAAAAAACTATAACCAAACTTTATGGAGCAATTTTGCAACCACAAAATGTGTAATTTCTATTTATCTATCTAAACATTCATAAAGTGCACCCATCAACTTTTACTGGTCTCTTTTTTTTTTGGCTTTCTAACTCTGCCCTAAATCAACTAATTTAAATTTTAATGTTGTTTATTTTAATTATTTAATATATTAAAGGTCATTGAAAAAAACCTGTTACATTTTCTTTTAAATTATATTTGTTATTTTGTAGATTTGAATAAAGTAAGTAAATCTGATACATTTACAGAGGTTTATATCTGTTTATTGATTGTTAGTTTTTCTTGTTTAATATTACCATAATTAAGAAACTTCAATTACTAAAGTTACATAGTATTTCAAATCTTGTTCATGTAGCATTTTATTCTTCTTTGATATTTAATAACAATCTCCATTATGGAAAAAATATATATTGTCTTTGAATTGAAAGACAGTGTTAAAATTTGTTCCCAACTAGTATATCGAGTAATTAATTAAAATTATAAAATTATGTATTTAACTAAAAATGGCAATAGGTACTAAACAGAAGGATGGAAGATCTGTACATAGTGAAAAAATTGGATTTAATATGGCAAGTCTGGGAATGAAGTATACACATAATTGAAGATATATTAGTAAATGAGCTGTTGAGTGAGAATTATTCATAATTAAACAATTACTACTAGTTGATTATGTAAAAACAGAGCTATTTGTTCACATTGTATAATGTTAAAAGCTGAGTTATAAAAGGAAAATAATTGTTGAGACTTTGTCCTTAGCTGAACAAATACCACTTGTTGGTTGATGAAGACTAAATCAGTTTGACAAGTTAGATTATGGAAGAGAGAAAAATTTATCAGTAACTCAACAAATACTGTTAATTGATTGGTAGAAAAAGAAAAAAGGATCTTTTTCCATGCTGAAAAAATTGCCATTAGTTTACTAATGAAAAGAGGACATTACCAAAGCTGAATAAAAGCTTGTATTTCATTGATGAAAAGAAAGTAATTGTTCATGGTTGATTGAGTGTCACTAGTTAGTTGCTAGGAAGAGTTGTTCATGGTTGATCCAATGTCACTAGTTGGTTTATGGAAAGAGGGAGTTTTCCATGGCTGATAAAATGTTACCAGTCGGTTGATGGAAATAGACAAATTTACCATTCTTGATCAGATGTCATTTGCTGTTGATGGAAAGACAGGAGTTGTCCATCGTTGATAAGATATCACTAATTAATTAATGAGAGAAAAAATATGTCCTTAGCTGAACACACCACAAGTTGGTCTAACTGAGGAAGGAAAAGTTTGGATAAATGAAGACAGAGATAATTTTCTCATATCTAAGGGAAACTGAATGTTTAAAAAAAAAGAGAATTTATTGATAGTTACAATAAAACTCGTTTCAAAGAGTTGATTGTATATTATAGAGATATTATTTTAGGCCCTATGTTTCACTTGGAACTATTGTTAATAATATATAATTGCTCATTATTGCCAAATACCACATTTTTCATTGTAATAAGTTTGTGCAAAGGATATGAAAGTAAATCATACACTACACATTTTGATGTACTTTCTACAGACAACAATTCAACAAAACAAAGGCACAAGTGCCTATTGGAGATGCATCAAGTGACTTGACAGATATATGATCAAATGATATTGTTACTATTATTTCAGTTCCTTTGGCCATTTTTTCATAAAAATAGTATGGATTTTGATGTATGTTTAGAAGCTTGTGGTCATTTGACTTGTGAACTGTCATTAGTTTCAAAACCTTGTTTATTATTTTTAATTGTACTGCAAGATATTCATAGAGCTTCATTAAATTGGATTTTCTATTGGATGGTTATTACTTGTAACTGTAGTTTTTATATTTGCACACCTCTGAAGAGAAAAGATGTTGGAAAGAAGCTCTTATTCTCTTATAGATTTTTGAATATTAGTTAATATTATCATTTTTGTAGTAATTTGGGTTGAATAACAAAATATTAACTAGATTTAATAAGTTTGGTAAATAAAAATAGTATGGTTAAAGGTTTAAATTAGAGCTTAGTGGTATAATCTGAACTACAATGTTATATTAAGCTTAGGACATGCAATTGAACTTTTAGTAATTCATCTTACTGGTAAATTGTAAAACAGGTGAAATACATTATTTTATTAAACTAGTTAGTTGTCTCTTTTTGTTTTAAGGATTATTTTGTTTACTTGATTTTAATTTAGATCCATTAGTTTAAATTCAGTTTATAGGTAGGTTATAAATCTGACTAAATACTATTAATAATATTAATATTATGTAAACATCAAGTAAAGTAAAGTAAAGACTAATTATTTGTCACTGTCATAAAATTAAAGATAAACTTAATTAATTTAATGTGAACATAAAGTACTGATAAAAAACTAGTATATTTGTTCTAAAACGTTAGGCCTAACAATAATAGAGTTGGCAATAAGCTACTGGTATTTACATTTAGTATTGAGTATATATTTCCAGGCTACAAATACAATGGTTAAGACTAGTGTTGGAGTTAAGCATTTACAGTTTGTTAAGTGCAATGGTTGCAATGAGTGGGTTTTATTTGGGAACACTGGACTGGTATGTACTTTTAAGGAAGCTAGTACTAGTAGTGAAGATATGCAATTTGTATGTAAAGTTGGAAGCTATCCTAATTAAAGTAGAGGCAATAGATAAAGAGAAGGGTAAACTGTGAGAAATGACAGCAGGATTTCAAGAGGAACTTAAGCTTTTACATGTAAGGGATACATAGCTAAAATTGACTTTCAGGAAGTTAGAAAGAGTACAATTAGGGCCAAAAGTAGTGGATTTAATTGTAATGAGCCTATTCTATTGAGCAACAGATTTCAGCCCTTGGCTTGTGCAGATGAAGAACTGTTGGAAGGAAAACAAAAAGGTCAGAGAAGGATGTGGATGATAAGGAGGTTATGGTTATAGGTGTTTCCTTGACAAAGCATGTGAATAGAATAGTCTGTGGGGTAAATAGGGAGAAATATTAGATTATGCTACCCAGGGGCATAGATGGAGGATATAATTGACAGAGCAAGAGATATAATAAAGGGGACCTACAATAATGCCATTTTTGTTGTGCATATAGGGGCTAATGATGTAGGGAAAGATAAATTAGAGGAGCTAATTCATAAGTACAGGGGGTTGGTAAAGGCATTTAATAAAGAAAAAGGTCATAACTTAATTGTGTCAGGGATACTGCCAAGAATTAATTGTGAGGATGAAATTATGAGTAGGTCACTAGGGCTAAATGCTAGACTTAGGTTAATATGTAAGGATGAGCAGATAGGCTGGGTGGACTTGTGGGATCAGTTCAATGGGAGAAGGGAGCTTTTTGGAATGAACGATTTACATTTAAATAGGGTAGGATCTGGATTGTTTGCAAGGGCTATTAACTCAGTTGTAATAGAAGACCTAAACTAGGACTAGACAGTGGTGAGTGCAAAGATAAGCGAAATGCAAAACAAAAATAGGATGTAAAAAAATTTAGCATAGAAAATAATTATAGAAGTAGTTCTTAGGGTAGGCTTAATTGTTACTATTATAATGCCAGAAGTTTAAGAAATAAAATAGGTGATCTTAGGGCACTGGTAGGAATGGATGATTTTGATATAATAAGAATAACTGAAACATGATTAAATGTAGATGATTTTGATGACAGAAATTTCTTTGAAATACAGGGTTATAGGTTATTTGATAGGAATAGAGTAGTAAAGAGAGGGGTAGGAGTGGCTTTATTTGTAAAATGTGAGTTACATCCTGTTGAAGTTGAGGATATCAAATATAATAGCAAGGAGATTGAATCTATTTGGGTTTCTATTAGCAGATACAAAGGGATAAGGCTTTTAGTGGGAATTTGTTACAGACCTCCAGATGACACTGATAAAATTAATAAGAAATTATACAGTGAGATTAAGAGATTTCAACTGTTAATGAGGTCATAATTATGGGTGATTTAATTTCAGGCATATAGATTGGGAAATGCTAGAGTCAAACCATGGGTGCAAGTGATCATTGTTCTATTAAGTGTGATGTTTTACTGCATATGGAGATCAGAAACAATGCTATTTTGGTTACAAAACTCAAAAAAGCAAATTTTGAAGGGATGCAACAAGAATCATCTGTTGGGAATTGGGAAGCTGAGTTATTTGGAGACACTGATCAGATGTGGAAAATTTTGAAGGATAAAGTTTTAAATATTCAAGATAAGCATGCTCATTATAGAAAGAAAAGGGTGGCTACAATAAAAAAAAACACATTGGCTCACAAAGGGTATAAGAGATAAAATTGAAGAAAAGCATCAGCCTTTAAGAAATTTAAATTTACTGGTATGAGAGGAGATTCAAAAGAGAAAAGAAGATCAAGAAAGTTGGTCAAAGAGGAAATTAAGACATCGAAAAAGATTTATGGAAAAAGGTTGGCTGAAAATATAAAAATTAACAGTAAGGATCTCTAAGTAAATTAAGGGTAAACAAAAGGGTAGGACCCTTGAGGGATGATAAAAGAAGGCTTGTATGTGATGATTATGAGTTGGCTGGATTATTAAATTTTGCTTTTTCTTCAGTTTTTAATAATGAAGATTTAAGCAGTGTTCCACATCTTGAAAGGGATTTTGGTGTAATAGTCAATCAGTCTCTAAAGTCATTCAAGCAATGTGCTGTTGCTA